TTCCTGCTTTCTCCTCTAAGGTTTTGATGGTTTCCTGTCTCACATTCAGGTCCTTTATCCATTTTGAGTTTATTTTTGTGAATGGTGTGAGAAAGTGGTCTAGTTTCAACCTTCTGCATGTTGCTGTCCAGTTCTCCCAGCACCATTTGTTAAAGAGACTGTCTTTTTTCCATTGGATACTCTTTCCTGCTTTGTCAAAGATTAGTTGGCCATACATTTGTGGGTCTAGTTCTGGGGTTTCTATTCTATTCCATTGGTCTATGTGTCTGTTTTTGTGCCAAACATGATTTATTATTTACCTGAAGTTCAAGTTTAACTTAGAATCTTATCTTTTATTTAGCAATCCTATCTTTACCCACGTTCTCTTGTTTTAAATTTAAGAATTCAATAGAAAATTTTTACACTGACTCAAAGCATTCTTTATTGGATTTTCCATTTTCTCCAAATAGGCAAAAAATTAACACCACTTGCCATTTCTTTAATTACTGTTTTTCTTCTCAGTTGCCCTTACAAAATAAGCTCTTCTTTATCAGGAATTTTTTATCTATTAATCATTATCTTACAAGCGTGTTTTTTCTGAACTGTTCTCTGTTACTGATGCCTTATTTTTTATAGAGGAATTTAGTGATTTCAATCTCAGAACTTCATATGTTGGGAAAGGGAATTCTTTTGGCCTGTTCATCATGCCATATAACTGTGTCTATTCTATATTTTATGCCAAATAATTCTGTTGGGATCTTGATTATCCACTTTCTAACAAATAAATCACATAACAAGAGCGTGCATCTATGAAAATACATGTCCAGAACAGTGTGCAAGCCTTCCAAATTATTTAAGGTACAGATAACCTAATAAAGAGAAATGTCTTCATTATTTCAGGTAAACAGTTAAAACTAGGTCACATTTAATAGTGCATCTGATTTGCTTATTTTCTCCTCAGCTAGTTCCTTTTGACTAATATTACTTGTAGGTACCATTTAGCTGGTGTATTTCTTAATAGTAGATTTAATCTATTTATTATATATTTATTATAACTAGATAATCCACTGGTATTAAGATATTCTAGGTAATGGGATTAGATTGACAATTTAGTCATTTGCTCAATCTAAAACAAGTTTATTTAGAGCATCCTTTTATAGAATTGGGGGGGAATCAAATTCTATTTCTTTTTTTTTTTTTTTTTTTAAATTTTTTTTTTCAACGTTTATTTATTTTTGGGACAGAGAGAGACAGAGCATGAACGGGGGAGGGGCAGAGAGAGAGGGAGACACAGAATCGGAAACAGGCTCCAGGCTCTGAGCCATCAGCCCAGAGCCTGACGCGGGGCTCGAACCCACGGACCGCGAGATCGTGACCTGGCTGAAGTCGGATGCTTAACCGACTGCGCCACCCAGGCGCCCCTCAAATTCTATTTCTTACCCATGCTTTTAAAAAATGTTACATTTGCTTTTAATGCTTTTGATGTATTTTTCCCTAAGTTAATTAAAAAGGAATAATGCAGTGACCTATTTGCTTTTTAGCAATATGCTTTATTAGCTAAATGATAAGATTTTATAAATTGAATTCTATCTGGAAGCACTTTATGTTGTCATCCTCGAAATAAATATGAATATGCCTTAACTTAAAATATCCACAAAGAAAATATTTGGAATTTTATATTTTGCTTATTGTTTAAATATAGCACTCTGTATAGCCATTATCATTTCAGCTATCATCATTATGAGTTATTGGGCATGTAAAATTTTCCAGTGGTTGTATAGAACATATCACACTCCCATAATGCTACCAAACTTAATAATGTTTTTTGCTTCAGCTGATCGTTTATTTGTTTTTATTTTCTCACTTTTAGACCACAGCAATGAAAAAAATAATGTATTACAATATGCGTATAAAAACTGTTCAGAGGCATCTTCATGAAGACCTTGAAAAATTGAATGAACGAAAATGCAAATTACAGAAATTGCCAGAAGAAAGAATAAAATTATTTAGCTTTGTGAAAAAAAATGTAAGATTCAGTATTGTAAAATTTTAATGGCCATATCTTCAGAAAACTGGTGATAAGACAGCATTATCTTTTAAATTATATATATATATATGTATACACATATAGAAATAATTTTTTTATTACTACTTCCAAGTTTGCTTCTAAACCTTTGATTCCATTTGCTTGACCAAGCTTCGTTGTGTGCTTAGAAATCTACAACTGTAAAAAGGTAGAGGCTTATAAATTTATAAATGTTTTAAAAAGCTGTGTAATTCAGTATGATTCCAAAAGTTATTGAAATCTATTAGAGTTTATTTCAGCTGTATTTTTATTAGACATATTCAGGCTGTGCTCAAAATTAATTTTTTGGTCTAAAGTGCTAAAATTTCCCTTTAATAATACTTTTAAGGTATTAAAACCAGATGAGACCTTTAAAGCAAGCTGTACTTTGGTAGTTATATTATGTGTGCTTTTTTTACTTAGAGTAAATTGGATTTCCTTTACCAACAGTAGGCTTTGAAAAATGAAGGATTATTAACCTCAAAATAGAACTTTTTATATATAAGAACTTACTGTATTTTTTTAAAGTAAGAAAATATAATTATTCTACAAGTGTTAGAAAAATAAATTATTTGGGGGGTAGGGGAATTGGATTCTTAGTTTACACTTTACCAAAAAAAAAAAATGCCAGTGGGGAGAAAAAAAGAACTAAATTAAAAATGAAAAAACATGAAAACAACTGAAGAATATATAGATGAATATGGTTAACTGATCTCAGCCTGCCAAATAAAAGGAATACTAGAAATAACAAAAGAACAGAATGTAGATCTGATTGCAAAAAATAAAAGTAAAATGCTTTGGTACTAAAAAGGATCGTTAATAAAAATAAACAGTTTTCAGCAAACATGATGGGGGCATCTGGCTGGCTCAGTTAGTAGACCATGTGACTCTTGATCTTGGGGTTGTGAGTTCGAGCCCCACACTGTGTGTAGAGATCACTTAAAAATAAATCTTTTTAAAAAACCATGATGGGGGCGCCTGGGTGGCGCAGTCGGTTGGGCGTCCGACTTCAACCAGGTCACGATCTCACGGTCCGTGAGTTCGAGCCCCGCGTCGGGCTCTGGGCTGATGGCTCAGAGCCTGGAGCCTGTTTCCGATTCTGTGTCTCCCTCTCTCTCTGCCCCTCGCCCGTTCATGCTCTGTCTCTCTCTGTCCCAAAAATAAATAAACGTTGAAAAAAAAAAATTAAAAAAATAAATAAATAAATAAAAAACCATGATGGACAACCTTAGTATAGGCATTCATAAATAAACAACACAAAAAGCAAATATTCAAATAGAAAAACTGAGCAAAGTACATAAGCTTCTGTTTCACAAAAGAAGAAATTAAAAAATGACTAAGATTTGAAAGAAGAGCTTAACTTGGTTATTAATTTCCAAGTGTGAATTAAGATAACGAACAATCATTTTCTCCTATAAAATTGTCAAAGTGTAACACGTGACAGTACTCAGGCTGGTGAAGATGAGTATGACCCTACTACACCACCAATGAAATGTAATTTGGGTCATATGTATTCACAGCCTAAAAAATGCTTGCAGCGTTTGACCCAGTAAACCTACTGGTAGCACTCTGTTCTAAGGATTTGGATAAAATTCACATACATAAGATATTTATCACTACACTATTAATAACAACAAAAAATTGGAAACTTACCTAATTGTTTAACTAAAGAGGAAGAATTATTCACTCTTAAGGTAGAGTAGTATACTGCCATTAAAAACCAAGTCTTTTAAATATATTTAATGCTCTTCCTAAAATAAACGGGCTTGAATTAATAATATAATAGATATCCTTAAAGTGAAACATTAACATTTATTTTTGGATAAGAAATGAACCAGTATATGAAAATCATTTTATATCTATTTTTGTGTACAAATGCATGTATTAAGGAAAATCTGCAAATGTGAAAAATAATACCTGTAGATTAGATAAACTATAGACATTTTTAAAAATATGCTTGATTTGCTTTTAATAGCTGGATATAGCCATTATAGAGGTGAGGACAGATAATCAGTAAATTTCTATTTATAAAAAATCTCTCCAATGTATCTTGAAATCCTACAAAGCTGGGGTTAAGGCAAGGCAAGTGAGGTACTCACTGCAGGCCCAAAATTAGAGTGCTAAACACCTCAGTAATCACAATAAATCATTTCTAACGCAATATTTTTTAAAAAATACAAATGAATGCCAAAAAAGTCCACTATGAACAAGAAAAAACAATCAAAATTTAAATAAAAACATTGCCGTGCTGAGCCATATATAGGAGACTGAGGCAAGGGGAAAAATATGCATCTCAATATACATCTTTTATATATTTTCTATGGTTGATTTTTTTCCCAGAATACCAAAGTACTTAAAAAAAATACTGAAAAATTGAAAAGTAGGTGTGATAAATGTCACATTACCTTGAAGTTTTAATATTTTATTTATACCCAAACCAGTATTTGTTGTAATTTTACTTTGGCTTTGATAGAAGGAAGCTCATCACTAATATTTAAAAATCAATTTCTTTGCTTTTCTCATTTCAATGAAAAGAACTGCCATGTTTGAAGTATTTAAGAATGTCCTTTGGTCAAAAGAAATTGACTGACTAAACTTGCGCCAAAGTTGTAATTGCACGTTTGGCATGTTTTTATGCGTTTGGCCTATTTATTACCTAAATTTCTATTTTCTTTTTTTAAGTTAACTATATATTTCATAATTCCACTAAAATGTTTTGCTCTATGGCACACTGATTTCAACAGCTGGAACGGGAACTTGCGGAACTCAAGGGATCTGGCAAAGGGCACAGTGATAGATCCAATAACAATAAAGTAGCTGAACTTGAAAAATCAGAGAAGTGTGAAACTGTCACAGAAGAGCCAAATCTTCAACAGAAGATACTGACCAAACTAAATGCCTTGAATGAAAGGGTAACATTCTGGAACAAAAAACTAGATGAGTATGTTTTATGAATTGTCTAGTTCAAATTTGAAACATGAGAGGATAGAATGTTCTAGGCTATCAGTCGAGCTCAGTTCTCTTCCTCAGGGGTGGAAAGAATTATGAAGTAAAACACAGAATGTGTTTCTAGTCCCATTCCCAGCAGAGATAGACATCATTGATTCAAAGCCGACATACATAGTTTTTTACAGAGGCAATGCTTAATTAGGCACAGCAAACTTCCCCCTAGTGGCTTCTTGTCACATCACTGCTCTAGTGTCTGCAAACTAAAAATAGAGCTGCTACTGATGGAGAAACTCACCACATAGACCTGACTGAGCAAAGCACATACATAGTTGTCTGGAGTCACGTAGAACAAACTCTGGCTGAGTTTCAACTAGACATATAAAGCAGAAGATTTAGTAAGTACCAATAATTTTTTATTTACTAGGGCATTAAATGGATAAAGTTAGTTTGCCCTGTAAATACTACTACTGATCCTACTACTGCTTCTACTACTACTACTAACAGCTAACACTTATTTCTTACTCTGCCAAATTCTTTGCTAAAAGCTTTGTATGTATTTTGCATAGAATCGTCAAAAAAAAAAAAAAAAGCCTTTTCAGGTGTAGGTACTGTTAATATTGCCATTTTACTGAGAAACCGCAGCATCAAAAGATCTGCGAGCCATAAGCGGCAGAGCCAGGAGAGACTTCTAACCTTATTGCCAGAAACAGAATGTCTTTAACTTGGTTTAACTGTTAACACCAAGCTTTCTGTACCCATTGACAAACGCCTTATATTTTCATATCAGCCTTTTTTTTTTTAAATCTATTTAAACTATAATTTTAATGTTGTGATATTTAGGTTTTTCTAATAACTTAATTTTTCTCTTAAATAGGATTGAAGCAATTTATCATGTTGAAGTAAAACAAAAGAAGAAAAGCCATGGCTTATGGATCCCATTTTTGTTAATTGAGTTGGAAACTGTGGGAAATATCCACTTTGAAGAAGGCACTCAATCTGATGACTGGTAAATCTGTTTGAAATTTAATTACAGACTTAAAAATAATTTTAGGTGCTTAGGGGTGCCTGGGTAACTCAGTCAATTGAACATCTGACCCTTGGTATCAGCTCAGGTCATGATCTCATGGTTCGTGGGTTCGAGTCCCGCGTCGGGCTCCATGCTGTCAGTGCAGAGCCTGCTTAGGATTCTCTCTCCCTCTCTCTGTGCTCCTCCCCCACTCATGCTGCCTCTGTTGCTCTCAAAATAAATAAACTTTAAAAAAATAAATAATTTTAGGTGCTTAGGATCATCAGCTAAAATATCAACTTATAAAGTCTTAAAATGTCTAATTTTCAAAACACTTCTCATATAGAATGTTCATCCACTGAAGAGTAGCTGTTACCTATTTTGCCACCAATATGTTTTTCTGTTTACATAATTGCTGTGGGCTAATCTTGAGAACATCCTAATGATATTTCATTGCTCTTTATCCAATTTCCCTTAGCCCAAGAGCCAGAATAAATTTTTTTATGTTTATGGCCAAGTATTAATTTTATATATGTTTAAACTGTTCATTTCTTGACTGGACGTGGCCCTGGATTCTGAATATTGTGTGAGAACCTACAATAGAGAAGGAACGCAGGAGCAGGATTGGCAACAGCAGGTCGCAGACACTGAGGGAGGCACCATAGCAAATTTCCTGGGGGTCCATAGTCAAAGTCAAACCAGTTGTCTAGAGCTGGCTAGAGTCAGGGTGCACATGGACTCTGTGAGTTGAAATAAGGCATACACTTAAAACCCAGGAGTTTGGGTTAAAAGTCCATTTAGGCAGAAATGCAGACAGCCACCAGAAACAGGCAGGAAACGGGCATACACACTTCGTAATTGAAGCCTCCTGGTACAAACAAGGAAATGGCTGTGTTGCCTCAACTTGAGGGTACAACTTAGAAAATGATTCTGAAGGAAGGAAGGAAGGAAGGAAGGAAGGAAGGAAGAAAGAAAGGAAGGAAGGAAGGAAGGAAGGAAGGAAGGAAGGAAGGAAGGAAGGAAGGAAGGAAGGAAGGAAGGAAGGAAGGAAGGAAGGAAGGAAGGAAAGCAAAGGTTTGCAGCAGAAAATATCACTAATTATAACTTCCACATTTCTGTAATCATTTCCTCAAAACTGGGGAGCTGTGAACAAGCCAAAGCTTGCCCTAGAACCCTAGAGCATACTGCGAATTTGGATGTGTAGAGAGAAAGCAGGAAGCACGTAAAGTGATTGAATGGACTTGATCCAGCATCCCAGCGGATTGTATTTGCAGTCAGTGTTGAAACAAACACCGACTTTTATGGAGTAAAATGCAAAATTCGTATTAACTTTTTATATGTTTATTTTTGAGAGAGACAGAGACAGAATGTGAGTGGGTTAGGGGCAGAGAGAGAGGGAGACCCAGAATCCAAAGCAGGCTCCAGGCTCTGAGCTGTCAGCACAGAGCCCGACGTGGGGCTCAAACTCACAAACTGTGAGATCATGACCTGAGCCGAAGTCGGATGCTCAACCGACTGAGCCACCCAGGCGCCCCTGTATTAACATTTTATAAATTAAAATATGTAATTGTTATGAATTACTTTAAGCCATGAGAAGTTCTGCCCAAGTGAGAAATAGACCGTTTAAAATATTTTCTCTTGTATCAGTACATCAATGGCCCAGCAGTTACCACTATTCACTTAACCACAACACTTGATTTTTATGTGCAAAGATATAAAGGGGATTCATCCCATTTCCCATATAAACAAATAAAGGCCTTGATTTTTCAAGTACAAAAATTGAATGGTGTCTGTCTGCAGGGTGCATGAAAAATTTTTCAGTCTTTCATTTATATTCACTCAACCTAAACAGATTTGTTTATTATTATTTCCGTTTCTTTTTAACTTATTGCAGAGTAGTCTCTTTACAAAACAAGTAGATGATAAGGAAAAAATACATAAAAGCAAAATGACTAAAAAGCCATTAGGTAACTATGTCAACCTGATAGTAAATTAGCTTGATGGATTTTGATAAGCGTTAGCAATTGTTTACTTGGCTTTAGTAATAACAGCCTTGATCCATTTTAAGAAGAAAATCAAATCTACATTGGCAGAATTTGAAGGATTGTTTTTTTACAAACTTGGCCACCTTAGCTGTGATTTTTTATGGATACTATGAAATAGCTCCTGGGGCGCCTGGTTGGCTCAGTCGGTAGAGTATGCGACTCTTGACCTGGAGGTCATGAGTTCAAGCCCCACGTTGGGTGTAGTACAGTGTCTGCATATAGCAGGTACTTGGTATTTGCTAATCAATCAGTAAAGATAACCAAATGATTTCCTATGTGGTCCCTGCTGGCACACCTCCTACACAGAGAGCACTGTGTAAAACAAATAAAAGCCTTTTGTAGCAACCTGTTATTTTCCAAGTGATATTCAAACCTTTCACCCCAATATTCAGTGGGCTTCACCATTTGGTGTTCAAACCATCCTACTACTTTTCCAACCCCCCCAGAGTCAGCCAAACTATGTGTGCCTCACTGCTCTTGGGACATACCTGGTGCACCACCGTGGTTTCCTCTGTTCTGCTTCCTTCACCCAGAATACCTTACATCCTTGCCCTCACTCTCTATCATTGTCTGTCAAAACTTACTTTATCTTCAAGGCCAACATCAAGAGCCATCTTTTGTGAGGAATATCTTTGTCATCTTTATCAGATTAGTCATTATTATTCTCTTTGAATCTTCACAGCACTATGTTGCATCTCTCCTATCTTCTACTCAGTTATAATTTTGCCTATGTTTGTCCCATTACTTTTCTGCTCCATTTGTTTATAAACTCAGTGAAGATAGAGACTACATTCTTATTCATCTTTGAATCTTTTCTATTGTGTTCACTTGCTCAGCATCCATCCACTGGGTTTCTACCATGGGCCAGATTCTATTCTAGGTGCTAGGGATAAAAGTTATAGTTTCTGCTCTCATCCAGGCTGTCATCTGGTACGGGAGACTATGGAAATGAAGCAGTACTAAATTCTGGGATAACTGTTGGTCTGGAGAAGAATGACATTCAAACCAGAATGGGGGTGTAGAGAAGGTTTTGGGAAGTGGGGACATCTGAGGGAGATACTTTGATCTGAAATTTGAGGGACAGATAGAAGTTAACTATACACAGAATTAGGGGACGGACTTCCTAAGCAGAGGAAACAGCATGTGGTGAAAAGGTATGGAACTATTATAATACGTTTGGAGAACTACAGTATTTCCACATGACAAAGGCCTGATCATTAAAGCTCACTGCGAGCTGGTAGTTTGAATTTCGCCCTTAAGTCTTTGGGACCCCTTGGAAGAGAGGTATAAGAGATTTAGATATTATTTTATATAAGTTACTACAGTTATTATTTGAGGTTCAGACTAGAAAGCATATATCTCAGGTCAGTAATGAGATGCTGCCCAGTGCATGTAGCACGTTACCAACAATGCTATGAGAAGTGTCCTCTTCTACGAGGAACTGATAATACAGAGTGTCACAGTACTTCCTAGTCAGTTATAGGTTTGGTTCTCCCTCCTCTAGCAGTATTCTGGCATTCTGTGAATGATATCTTCTCATTTCCAGCTTGACCAGGTGATTTATTGAATGGCTTTAGTTCTCTGATTCCAGATAGCACAGAGCCCACGTCCCATTAGCACGGGGGTTCCCAGTCTCCAGGGCTGTAGGAATTCTATGTGAAGAAGGGCTCAGCTACTGAATTTCCAGGCAGAGAAAAGCTCTATGAAAGGATTCCTCTTCATGGAGTTTCCTGTGCCATTCTTAGTTCTTGCATTCCTGGGAACTGAACTAGAAGCTAGGTATTGTCCATTTATCGCTTCTATCTATTCTTGTTTACCCTTGTTACTATATGACAAAACTTTATCTAAATAAAATGCCTACAACACTTTCTATCAGAGCATAATAATAATAAAAATAGAGTGCAAGTAGTAATTGGAGCTTCAGTGGTTCCAGGATGTATTATGTAGGAGTGACTTGGACTGATCAGGCCCAGACAGTGATCCCTCTATACATGAGCCTGGAGGTTTCCCACTCCTGGTGATGATGTAATTATTTATCCAGACCTCCGAACTAATTAGCAGCATCAGCTGGTTGCCACACTACTTATATGTATCTGTCTCCTAACAGATTGTGAGCCCCTCCGGGAATGGTTTGGTTTGGGCAGCTCACTTTTCAACTCCAAGGGAAGAGTAATTGGGCAGCTCTTAGCTGCACTGGTTCAGTCTTTGCTAGTGAGAAAGGCAGACACTCTAAATGAGTTTGTCCCAGGGAAAGACCACCCACCAGGAAGCTCACCTCTGTGATCTTAGCCCACACTCATGCTCAGGCCTTTGTTGATATTGTATGCCAGTGAGGACCAGACATCTCATTACAGGTAAATGTGTCCCATATAGGATCACTTAGCTTTCTTTTCAAATTGATCCATTTTATTTTATTATTATTATTTTTTTAATGTTTATTTATTCTTAATAGGGAAAGAAAGAGAGCACGAGCAGGGGAGGGGCAGAGAGGGAGACACAGAATCCAAAACAGGCTCCAGGCTCTGAGCTGTCAGCACTGAGCCCAACTTAGGGCTCGAACCCATGAACCGTGAGATCATGACCTGAGCTGGAGTCAGATGTTTAACCTACTGAGCCACCCAGGTGCCCCCAAATTGATTCGTTTTAAAATCTCATCTTAGTCCAAATTCTGTGCTACTTTAAGATAGGGCATGGCCCAGTAAGGGCAGTAGAGAGCAGATGAGCACTTCCAATACATCTTCTTGAGATCTTCACATAGTTGGCCCCTTCTTCTCCTTTTCTTCACTCAAATATCTTCTCTGAAATATCTTACCCAGATCTATACTCAGTAGCCCCCACTCCAGTCCTTACCCCAAACTTCTCTTTCTTCAAAGCACTTGTCAGTTTAGAAATGATTTTATTTATGTATTGTTTATTTTTTGGCCAACTCCTTATAATATAGGCTCCATGAGAGGAGGGACCCTGCCTCTTTCACTTCTATATCCCTAGTTATGAAGTTATTGGCAGTAGTCCAAATGAGAGATGATGATGACTTGGAAAAAAGTAATAACAGTGATGGTGATGACATAGGGTTATAATCAGGATATTTTAGATGTAGGGCCAAAGAGATTTGACCAAAGAATTGGATATTAGTGAGACAGAGAGGAGGCAAGTTTCATTCCTGGGATGTTAACTTAAGCTACCAGTTAGATGCTGGTACCATATACTGAGATGGAAAACAGTCAGAAGGAGTAGGCTTAGAAGCAGGTGATGAATTAAGTTTTAGAGGCCTATTCCATATGCAAGTGAACATACCAACTAAGCAGTTGGATGTTCAAGTAGGGGTATATCCACCTAAATTGGGTAGAGATAAAGTCTGAAAGTAAAATGTTGGAAGATATCCGTATATATAAAATATATTTTTTCTATATATTGCCAAGGGACCAGATGAAATCACCTAGGAATAGTATTCATGGAAACAAAAGGAGCACCCAAGACTTATTCCAGGTGCAGTCCAACATTTGGAAAGCTGCCAGAGGAAAAAGAATCAGCAAAGAAAACCATTAAGGAGCAGCCAATAAGAAGAAAGCCAGAGATACACAGTTTCACTGAAGCCAAAAAACAAAGTGTTTCAGTAATGAAGGATTACTCAAGCAACATGTCTTTCAGTCAAAACACATATCTAATCATTAATACAAACAACTCTTACTTTTATGTTTCAAAGTTTAACATCTCTTTTATTGATTAAGTGTGCCCAGTTTGGACCAAAGCAGAGCTATGATATGACAATGTATCTTTAGCAAAAAATATAAAATATGGGTTATAAGTTTTATTGTATGTAACTTAGTGTTCTTCAACGTTTTAAGGACAATGTGTTCTTTTCTTTATATATATTCTGTTTTCCCATATAGGTTTAACTCCTGCTATGAACTAGTTCTCTCACGTTTTTGTACCTGGGACTTCAGGCCATATGGTATTACTGGAGTGAAAGTAAAACGTATCATCAAAGTTAACAACCGTACTCTGAGACTAAAATTTGAAGAGAAACTCCAGAAGTTTCTTGACAGTGAAGATATGCATGATTCAGAGTAAGAAGTTAAATTCCGTAAGGAACATTTTTACAGAAGTCTGATTTTATTTTGTAAAAGAGTCATTCTGTTTTAAAAGCTTACAATATTGGAGTGCCTGGGTGGTTCAGTCAGTTAAGCGCCCAACTTCAGCTCAGGTCATGATTTCACGGATCATGGGTTTGAGCCCCGTGTCGGACTTTGCTTGGAGCCTGCTTGGGATTCTCTCTCCCCCCGCCCTCTCTTCCCCTCCCCTGCTCGGTCTCAATCTTGCTCTCGCTCTCTCTCTCTCTCTCTCTCAAAAATAAATAAACATTTTTTTTTTAAGTTTACAATATTGAAAATATGCCTCGTTAGTAAATATTTCCTTTTCATGCATCTCTCTTGATGAGGATGACATCATAGTTTACCCACACTGGGGCCTTTTTTGTTTTTTAAGTTTTCATTTGTCCATTTTGAAAGAGACAGAGAGAGAGCAAGCAGGTGAGGGGCAGAGAGGGAAAAAACCAAGCAGGCTCCTCGCTGTTGCCACAGAACCTGATGCAAGGCTCGAACCCACAAACCTTGAGATCATGACCTGAGCCAAAGTCAGACGCTCAACCAACTGAGCCACCCAGGCACCCCTGGGGCTCTTTTTGAGACTGAGGGGGATTGGAGACTTAGTAATGACACTGAAACATTCACTGTAAATGGGAAATATCCAGGGCAAGATATATGATTGTCTTATCTATGGCTAAGCTCTTTTGAAATCAATTCTCAAACTTTTTTTGTCTTAATTATTCTTAAGGAGCTATCGAAAGATGCTGGAATGTCTTTTTTATGTTTTTGATCCTGAAGTTACAGTGAAGAAAAAGCATCTGCTACAAATACTTGAAAAAGGATTCAAAGACAGTGAAACGAACAAGGTAGCATAAAATGTCATTCAGAATAATGCTTTCTTCCTAATGAATAAAGCCCTGCCATTGGTTAGACAGGGCTTGGTTCTCAATCCTTTTATTCATATTTATAGCCAACTTCTGCTATTTCACAGAAAGCTTGGTGCTACAAAGTATAGCATCTTCCTTCTTTGGATTATACCAGAATAAGTCCATCAATTAATTTATCTGCCTGACTATCTAATATTTCTAGGTATCCTATTTTCACGCTGTGATCCTTTTGTTAATGATCTTGAAATCTATTTCTATAATCTCTTTTAAACACTCTAGGGTCTTCTCCATCTTGAAAAAAAAAAGTCCATTTGCTGAACACTGACTGCTATGCTTTCTGGTTGTCATCCTGTTTTTCTTTCTCTCTTACTGCCACCACTTCTTTATTTTCTACTTCTTTGTCTGCACCTTGCTCCCTGGTCACTCTGAGCTCCAAAATATCCAGTCACCCTTTCTCTGTCTTCCGCTCTCTTGCTGAGGCAGCTGTAACACCCTGTTATACAGCAGTGCTCCCTCACCCTTTTCACATCATGGCGCACACAAAAATGATAATGTTGTTGCATTTAAATCCTGGCTTTCCTACTCAGGAGCTAAGTGACTTCACCTCTATGTGCCTTTTTCTTCCTATCTATAAAATGAAGGTAATAATAGTATCTACTTCACAGAGTTGTGGTTAGGATTTAGTGAGGTATGCATTCAAAAGTTTTTGGATACTGGTACACCACTCCATGTTCATAACACCATTATTCATAATAGCCAAAAAATCAAAACAACCCAAATGCCCATCAAGACACAATGGATAAACAAAATATGATATAGCCATCCAATGGCATACTAGCCATAAAAAGGATTTAAATTCTGATACATTCTGATCCATGGTTAAACCTTGAAAGTATTACACTAAGTGAAAAAAGCCAAACACAAATTTACAAATTTTGTATGATTCCACTTGTATGAGGTACGTAGAATAGGCAAATTGGTACAGACAGAAAGTAGAATAGAGGTTAGCAGGGGATGAGGATGGAAGGATAGGGAGTCATTATTTAATGACTGCAGAGCTTCTATGGGGATGATGAAAAGTTCTGGAAATGAATAGTGGTGATGGTTGCACAACATTGTGAATGTACTCCATGCCAATGAATTGTACACTTAAAAACGGTTAAAATGGTAGTTTTACTTTATGTACTTTTTACAGTTAAAAAAAAATCACCAAAACAGCATTCCAGCCATTCAGTGGAGAAAGGATTGGAGGGAGTAGGAGCTGATGGCAGGAGGTTACATAGGGGGGATACTGCAGCAGCAGGCCAGAGGGACAGTGGCTTCAGCAGGCTGGTGTGGCGAAAGTGCCCTTATGTACTTTCTGGAAGAGAAGAAAGAAGGAGGCGAGGAATAAAGGATTTGAAAAAGAAGAGTGGAGTGCTCAGGGTGATTCCAGAGAACTATGAACCATCATGGGCACGAAGGTTGGCAGAAAGATGAGGCTAACATTTCTGTGTGTTTCCTGCTTGCCCGACACTGTGCCTAGCGCCTTATCTCCTGCCGCTCCTTTAGGAGATGCGGTATCTCTAATCCTTTAAACAGCCGGCTATCCAGTATGGTAGCCACCACCTGCATGTGACTGCTGAGCATTTGAAATGTGACTAGTCAGAATTGAGATGTGCTAAGAAGTTTTAAATAAATCTCAGTTTTGGTATAGAAAAGAGATTATAATTTCTTATACTGATTACATATTGAAATGATAATATTTCAGATAGATTACATTAAATAGAATGTATTATTAAAATTTACCCAGAAAGTTCTTGGGACCAGTTCCTGGCACATAGAAAGTTTTTGGGTTTTTTTTTGTTTTGTTTTGTTTTTTGTTTTTTGGGCTTTTTAAAGATTTTATTTAAATTCCATGTGCCATACGTATTAGTTTCAGGTGTACAAAAGAGTGATTCAGCACTTCCGTTACAGGTCCCCGTGCTCATCACAAGTGCACTCCTTAATCTCCATCACTGACTTTACCCATCCCCCTCCCTATCTCCCGTCTGGTAACCATCAGTACCTTCTTTATAGTTAAGAGTCTGTTTCTTGGTTTGCCTCTCTTTTTTCCCCCCTCTATGTTAATTTGTTTTGTTTCATAAATTCCATATTAGAGTGAAATCATGTGGTATGTCTTTCTGTGACTGACTTATTTCATGCAGCATAATACTCTCTAGCTCCTATTATTCAGCCATAAAAAAGAACGTAATCTTGCCATTTGCAATGAGGTGGATGGAGCTAGAGAGTATTATGCTGCATGAAATAAGTCAGTCAGAGAAAGATAAATACCATGTTATTTCATAGAAAATTTTAAAATAAGATTTACCATTATTCTCTAAAGTATTTGATACTATTGACTGCTCTTTCCTTTTCGAAACTCCCCTTTGGCATCCATAATATTACACTAATGTTATTCTCCTATTTTTCTGATTGTCCTGTCTTTGTTTTCTTTTAATTCTTCCTCTTCCCTCTAAACATGAGAATACCACAAGATTAAGGCTTAATAATCTTGTTTTTCTCCACACATGATCAATTACTCTCATTGTTAAAATCTTAGAAATGGAGTATAATTGGCTAGAAAAATCACTGTGTAGCATGTAGATCTAATAAACCATATTTTTTATGCTATTATGTGCACACAGGCAATAAAGATAAATGTTTATGTACTGCATCGTTTAAGAGGTGGGATAAGATTAAAAAGCATGAGTTGTGTAAGCAGTTTAGAAGACAGATTTGGCTTAGGTTGGCAGTGACTTTGTAAGGCAGAGGGCTGGCTTACATCATTACTCTCTTTGATGCCCAAGGACTTGGTCAATAGACTTAAGGAGTATCATTTATTCCACTTGGCTTTCTCCAAAGTGTACGTCCTCAGCCAGCCCACCTCCTGCTCTCTGCTCTGACACCCGCAGCTGCCATTCCTATGTGATTAACCCGTTTTATCTCCTTCTACAATATGTCTAAAACCAGCCTTTAATATTTTGTCCATAACTAACTCTCTCCTTGTCTTATTTCTACCAACAATGCTGTCACTCTCCACTGACCAGGTTCAAAGCTTTGAAATTATATCCAACCACTCCCTTTTTCATTATCCCTGTATCTAATCATTTACCATTTGTAGTGATTCTTCCTTTACCATATCACTTTGCATTCTTCCTTTCCCTCCCTGTTCCTATTGCCTGCCACCACTTAGAACATTCCCTCTAATCTTTGCCAGTAGTTTCCTAATAGGCAACTCTGCCCTTGGTCTTCCCTCTATTCCTTCCACCTTTAAAAGGAGAGACAAATTAATCTTTCCTAAAACATTATTTTCATAGCACACACTGCATTGTTCTCATGATGAAAATCCTTCAGTATCTTCCCATTACTCATGATAATGAAGTTCAAATCCCCCTGCCTTGCACTTAAGGCCCCTCAAAATCTAGCTTCAACCAGACTCCCTATTACCAAATACAACAAATACCCCAAATGAAGTATGTACTTTCTTTGTGATTCTCCTAAACATACCTCAGTGCCATGCCTCCTTTTGATGAAATGATCTTCCCTACTTTTTTCTTTTGGCAAACTTACCCTTCAAGTCTCGACTTAAGGACCTCCTCCTTTGCGAAGGCTTTCCTGAGTTCTCAGATAGTAGGATCCCTTTTACCTAGTTTACAGGTTTATCAGAAAATCCATTAAAATGGAGAACTAGGGGCGCCCAGGTGGCTCAGTTGGAAGAGCATGTGACTCTTTATCTCAGGGTCGTGAGTTCAAGCCCCACATGGAGTGTAGAGTTCACTTAAATAACACTTAAAAAAAGGAGAACTTTAAATAAATTATTTACTTAAGGAACACTTTAGCAAACAACATATACGCTGCTGAAGCGAGCATCCCTTCAGCAAACTTAAAACATATAAACTTACATTTCATTCATCTATCTTTTTACATAGGGCCAAAGCCTCTGAGTATGAGGTTGAAACTCCTGATAATCTTTCTTACATCAGACCATAACCATATTACATATTAGTTTCAGTTTCTTTAAAGTTGAGCATGAACTTGAGTGCAAGAATCAATCTAGTTTTAGTTTGTATGCTCCCCCTTGCCACCACCAAACTTTTATATTTGCCCCATCTACACATGCTGTAGCAGAAGCTTTTAATGATTAGTCTCTACAGAATCTTACCAATACTTTCCACTTATTTTTCATAGAAACAACTCTCATCCTTGTTCATGTTTCATTGTTTTATTTCATGTGTATAATTTCAATAACAAATACAACTGGTATAAAACATTTAGGAACAAAATTAACCGACTTTTTGTAAGCATACAACACAGCTGGGGAGAATAGAAGTACATCAGTTTTTTTTTTTTTTTTATTATTGAAGTATAGTTGACATACAGTGTTATAGTAGTGTCTGGTGTACAACACAGTGATTCGACAATTCTATACATTACTCAGTGCTCACTAGAATAAGTGTAGTCACCATCTGTCACCATATAATGTTACTAACAGTATCATTGACTATATTCCCTATGCTAGTATTTTTTAAAGTACCCTCTTATCCTTGAATTGTCACCATACTGTGGGATTTAGAAAGGATGGAAATTACTGCTTAATCCTGTGAGTTGGTTAGCGGAAGCTGGTTAAGTGGCAATCAGTGGCAGTTGAGAATTTTATTGTAGCACATTTGTTATACTAAAATACAATTGAGAGGAGTTAAGATGACAGAGTAGTAAGCTGTAACCTCAAACACAGCTGTATTGAGGTTAGGTCACTTGAACACCCAGGAAATCGATCTATGGAGTGGCAGAAGGATCTCCACGGCAATCATGGTGTGCATCTCTCTACAAGACCTTGAGGACAGGGACTTTCTTTAGAGATTCCTAGTGGAAATCTGATTAATGAATGATGGATAGTTGAATAGATGGATGATAGTTGAATAGACAATCGTACCTGTTTCTATACCTTCATATGCTTTCTCCTCTTAAAAAGACTTTCTTTTAAGATTTCTGATTGGAATTATGCCTAATCTTTAAAGCCTAGCATTGATCCCTAACCTCTACAAAGATGGTTCTTAAAAACATTTCATTTAAAAAAGGAGATCTTATTTGACACATCTTGTGATGGTTTGTATTTTTTTAATGTTTAATGTTTATTTATTTATGTTGAGAGAGAGAGTACACAAGCATGAGCAGGGTAGAGGCAGAGGAAGAGGGAGAGGCAAATCCCAAGGAGGCTCCATGCTCAGCGTGGAGCCTGACACAGAACTGGATCTCATTGGATCATGTGACATCATGACCTGAGCCAAAATCAAGAATTGGACACTTAATTGATTGAGCCACGCAGGCACCCTGTGATGGTTTGTATTTTTAATTACTGGGTACAGCTTCCATCTTCCCCCCTCTTTCTTCTTTTCTTTTTTCCTTTTTTTTTTTTTACATCTTCTGATTCTTTTTGTTGTTGTTATCTATTTATTTTTTATTTTTTATTTTTTTATTTTTAAAATTTTTTAACGTTTATTTATTTTTGAGACAGAGACAGAGCATGACGGGGAGGGTCAGAGAGAGAGGAGACACAGAATCGAAGAGGCTCCAGGCTCTGAGGCGGTCAACAGAGTCTCTGACCGGGCGAATTCGAACTCACCGGACTATTGAGATCGTGACCTGAGCCGAAGTCGGCCGCTTAACCGACTGAGCCACCCAGGCGCCCCTATTTATTTTTTTAATCATTTTATTTTTTAATCGTAAGTATACTCTTTAATCCCCATCACTATTTCCCCCATCCTCCCACCTACCTTCCCTCTGATAACTATCAGTTTGTTCTCTATAGTTAAGAGTCTGTTTCTTGGTTTCTCTCTTTCTCTTTTTCCTTTGCTTGTTTATTTTGTTTCTTAAATTCCACGTATGAGTGAAATCATATGGTATTTGTCTTCCTCTGACTGACTTATTTCACTTAGCATTATACTCTCTAGATCCATCCATATCACAAGTGGCACGATTTTTATTATCTTTTACAAATGAATTATATTCCACTGTGCATATATACCACATCTTCTTTATCCATTCATCTATCGGGGGACAATTAGGCTGCTTCCATAGTTTGGCTATTGTAAATAATGCTGCATAAACTTGGGGGTTCAAGAATAATTTTGAATTAGTGTTTTTATTTTGTGTGTGCAAATATCCAGTAGTATGATTACTGGACTGTAGGGTAGTTCTTTTTTTAACATTTTGAGGAACCTCCATATTGTTTTCCACAGTGGCTGCACCAGAGTGCATTCCCACCAACAGTACAAGAGGGTTCCTTTTTCTCCACACCCTTGCCAACACTTGTTTCTTGTATTGTTGATTTTAGCCTTTCTGACAAGTGAGGGGTGATCTCTCATTGTAGTTTTCATTTGCATTTCCCTGATGATGAGTGATGTTGAACATCATTTTATGTGTCTGTTGGCCATTTGTATCTCTTCTCTGGAGAAATGTCTGTTCATGCCTTCTGCCCATTTTTTAATTGGGCTATTTGTTTTTTGGGTGTTGAGTTTTATAAATACTTTATATATCCTGGATACTAACCCTTTATTGGGTAAATCATTTGCAAATATCTTCTCTCATTTAGTAGGTCGCCTTTTTGTTCTGTTGATTGTTTCCTTCGCTGTGCAGAAACTTTCTATTTTGATGTAGTCCCAACAGTTTATTTTTGCTTTTATTTCCCTTGCCTTAGGAGACATATCTAGAAAAATGTTGCTATAGCCAATGTCAGAGAGATTACTGCCTGTGCTGTCTTCACCATCTTCCCTCTCTCACTTGAGGACCAAGACCATGCTATAGCTGCACAATGCCACGTACACAGCTTGTATCTAATGAATAGTTAGTGATGTTCATTGGAAATCTGATAAGGTTATATTTACTGGGATGTGGAATTTATGGTAACATGAGCAACATTTTAGTATTTATATTTTAAAAACTTCTTTGGGGGGCGCCTGGTTGGCTCAGTCGGTTGAGCATTCAAATTCGGCTCAGGTCATGATCTCACAGACATGAGTCTGAGCCCTGCATTGGGTTCTGTGCTGACAGCTCAGCCTGTCCCTCTTGTTCTCTGCCCCTCCCCTGCTCACACTCTGTCTCTCTCTCTCTCTCTCAAAAATAAATAAACATTAAAAAAATTTTTAAACCTCTTTGGGTAACAGCTTTTAGTAAGAAAAAGTAAATAAGCAATTCAGCATTTATAGAAAACATATTTTTTAGATAATTTGGATACTAATATTAAACTTGTAATAATTTCAAAACTCTGAGATAGTGACAAGGAGAAGCAGACCTGAGTTCAAATTATGACTTTGCTAATTTCTACTTCTGTCCTTGGATAGATTATATAATCTCTCTTAGCTCTAGGTTTTCTACTACTAAAAATAGAGATTTTATTTGTTCTTCAGAGCTTTCATAGCAAGTAATATGAATTTTAGAGTATTACTGTATTTCTTTTTTGTTGTTGTTGTTTATTTCTTTTGAGAGAGAGAGTGAAAGCATGAGTGGGGAGGGGCAGAGAGAGAGGAGAGAGCGAGACTCCCAAGCAGGCTCTGCACTGTCAGCTGAAAGCCTGGTCCAGGGCTCAAACTCAGGAACTATGAGATCATGACCTGAGCTGAAGTTGGACACTTAACCAACTGAGCCACCCAGGCACCCCTGTATTACTGCATTTCTGATAAAACATTTTTAAGAAATAAATCTAGTCCCAATGCAAACTAAAATTTCCATGCATTAGCACAATGAGGTGTATCTGGAAAGCCACGAAGATTATTAAACCAAGAACACTAATTATACCAAATCTTTATCCATGTATCTATATTTACCTATATCTCACATATAAGTAAGAACCTACAGGGTTTTCTTTTTTTGGAATTTACATGATTACTAGTGGAGTATCATTGAAAATGTGTAAGACTATAGCTCCTGGATCACACAGTGTTGTCAGTCCTGACTCTGGCTGCTTTTACAGGAACGAATACTGTGTATCACTTTTCGTAAACCTATTTGCATGTAAATTTAAAGCATATTATATAAATGGCCTTACAGAATGAAGTTGCACCTGAAAGTTATCTACTGCTTTTCAATGAATCTAGCCTTTTTTTTTTTTGCCCAGACACATAAACATAAACTAATAAGCCATCTGTATTGAAGCTGAAGTATTGTCAGTTTTATAAAAATACTCAGCTTTGTTTTTTCTTTGCAGCTGCCTCTCAGAAAAGAAGCTGTTATTCTCGCTAACAGCCTAAGTATGTGTGAGTGTCCCAGAATTGAATTTCTGCAGCAAAAGTACAAAGATGAGAAGAACTCTCCTGAGCAGGAGCTCTTCAGGCATGGTAGTACAAATATATGGTATTTCTGAACTTTTTAGTTTTAAGCCTTTGTTAATTATTTTCATAACATTTTTAATACTTGGCTTTATCAATCAGGAAGATTTTCCAGAAACTATTTTATTTAGTATTTACCAGTGTAGTGAAATATGACTTTCTGATCTGTAACTTTACAACTTATGAACAAATACTTACTGATTATTGTGTCAACATTAATAGAATGGGACTCATTTGTTACTCATATTTAATCCAATTTATATGAAACAGGCTGCTTTTGTTCATTCGAGGGCCAAGCCAAGCCTAGGGTCCTCCTACTCCACCGCCATCTTAGTTCCTTGCTGTCTACTTTTGTTCATTAACTTGTGTCCTAAAAATAAATTCAGTATATATGCATGTCTCTCTCTCTCTCCCTCTCTCTCTCTCTCTCTCTCTCTCTCTCTCTCTCACACACACACACACACACACACACACACACACACACACACCACCCCAAATTCATAGGAAAGAGAAAAGAGAACTTGGCACAATTATGCAGTAATCATCATGCCAAGCACTTGGGAAGGCAGGCCTTAATCATTTCAATAGATATAAGAAAACCTGGTTGCAAATCTAAAACTGGCTAAAGACAAACTGTAGTGTACAGATTTCTTTATAAATTGCCTCATAGAAGATAAAATTTTGGTACTTTATTCACAATGATCAGTACTTTATTTGCATCTTGAATATATAGATAGATAAAAGCATATGAGCCAATTTGCAGGACACTTCTGGGAGAGGTCCCCTTGTAACCACAGACTGGGGAAAAGTCCAGCTCATTAGGTCCTCTTGCCTCACCCTTCCACTGTTCATGCTTCAGTTCTACCAGTATTATGGAATGTTTACTACGTGTTAGGCACTTGGTAGTAGTATGGATATAGTCTTTACAAACCAGACACAGTTGCTCCTTTATGGTACTGACAAATATTAATAAGCACACAAATAACTGTAAAATTAAAATTTTCATAACATAACAATTTCATAACAAAGATGAAATGTTAGTGCATATTACCAAAGAATATATAATACGGAGAATTGACCTGGTCAGGAAGTAAGGGACACCTATTCTTTGGTCTCCACTATACACCTACTGAAGACTGGGCAGTCAGAAATTTGGTTAAATTAGGTCTATAAGAGTGATATTCTAGGTTCCAGACTAGAGCTCTGCTAGGATTATTCATGACAAACTACATGTGTCTTGCAGCCTTTCATTCAGTTAATGATAATCAGAAAACTAAGCAGATAATTGAATATAGAAAGAACTCCTTATTAAAAAAAAAACCATTTGCTTCTTTTTTCTCATGCTTTTCCATTCCCATCTTAAGAAACACCTCGTCATGTTTTTCTACATCCTTCTGAAATGTTTCCCAAAACAGTTAGGTTCTTTCAGCTTGCATTCTGTAACTCGTATAGTGTAAAAAAAGTCATCTCAATGTTTTGTCTAGTGATTACAAGTTACATTATAGGATTCAGTGACTCCTAGACATCCTTAGGATTGAGAGAATCCAAAGGCTTCTTAGAAATCTAAAGGGAAAAGAAATGTTTATCCATTTAGTAGACATGTATTGAGTGCCTCCCATGATCTAAGTGATGTGCTAGGTGCTGATGATTCAGAGATGAATTTTTACCCAGTTAATAACAACAACAAAAAGTTTCTTACTTCAAATCACTTGATAAAAAACATTGCTAACTTATTTTCTTTCCTTATTCCTTTTCTGTAAAGCTTTGCTTTAATCACAGGAATCCTCTTTTATAATTATTTCATTTGTTCAACAAATATTTACCGAGTTTCTGTTTTGCTATACGATGACAAACAAGGTAGCAAGGATCTCTGCCCTTACAGAACACATAGTCAAGTCTGGGACTAATAAGGAAGGTGATATGGGAAAATTACTAAAATGAATTACTGTTAAAATGATGTTTTATTCATATTTAGGCATCCTCCTCATTACAAAGGTTTTCCTTGGCCAGAGTGTTCAGGCTCGTGAACAGGACTCCATCAATCAAGCTAACTATCCAATGGTTAATTCAGTGTTTGTTCCTCGAAAATATTTACTAAGTATGTCTGCCGTAAAGAGAAATGTGCTTTAATTTTTCTGAATACAAAATGCTTGTATTTAATACAGATGTATAGAGCTTAATCTCTACTTAATAAAGTTTGTAAACTTTTCTAAAAAAAATCTAGTGCTGGCTACTAATGAACTATTTTTCTGTTCCCTGCTTCAATGACATTTATATATGTGTGTGTATAGATTTTTAATTTTGTGAACATTTATTTTTTGAGAGAGACCATGAGCAGAGGAGAGAGTCAGAGGGAGGGGGGACAGAGAGAATCTTAAGCAGACTCCATGCTTAGCATGGAGCCTGACACAGGGCTGGACCCTGGGATCATGACCTGAGCTGAAGTCAAGAGTCGGGTGCTTAACCAACTGAGCCACCTAGTCACCCTTGTAAACTTTTATATTTACACATCCATGCATACTGTTATATGAAATTTCATGTATTTTATGCATATACTATGTATGCATTTCATACATCATATGAATATTATATACATATATGTGATATAATACATATATATTACATATATATTATATATTTCATGTATAGTCTATGTATTTCATGTATATGTATTTGAAAAGATAAACCCATCCTTTTTTTTTTTGAGAGAGAGAGAGCAAGCCCGAGCAGGGAAGAGGAAGAGGGGGGCGGGGAGAAGAATCTTCAGCAGGCTCCACACACAATGTGGAGCCCAATGTGGGCTCATAATCTGAACCGAAATCAAGAGTCAGAGACTTAACCAACTGAGCCACCCAGGCACCCCAAACCCACCCACTTTTAACAGCAAAGGTTTTTGAGTAATACATTTGTCAAAAGTATATTTGAATAGAAAAATGACAAAGTATGAAAAGGAAAAGGACATGATGAAAAAAATTAAACCCTACTAGTCTATGTAGTGAAAAGGTGACTAGTGATTTCTAGAATTAAGAAACTGTTGCTTTACTCAAAACCTACTAATTTAAATGTTAATCACATCTAAAATTACTTTAGTAGCAAGGTCTAGACTGCTATTTCACCAACTAGGCACCATAGCCTAGACGAGTAAACACATAAAATCAACCATCACAATCCACCCCTGTCTATGTGGCACTCATACACACCTTCTGATGCCATACTAAATAGTCAAATAAATAAACTAAGAGGCAAAATGGGTGAGGATGGTCAAAAGTTAAAAACTTCCAGTTTTGAGATTTAAAAAAGTCTTAGGGATTGTAATGTACAGCATGACTGTAGTTAGCAATACTGTACTGGATATTTGAAAGTTGCCAAGAGAGTAAATCTTAAAAGTTCTCAGCACAAAAAAAAATTGTAACTATCCTTGGTGATGGATATTAACTATAATTATTGTGATAATTATTTTTCCATGTACACATGTATCAAATTATGTTGTAATCCTAAAGCAAATACAATGTTATATGTAAACTATATCTCAAACTTTAAGAACTTAAAAATTAAAGGGTAAAAAAAACCTGCAGAAAAAAAATTAAACTGTCTAGGAGGGGTGGAAAAATAGAAAAAAAAACAATCTCAATAACATAATAGTTGGAACTTACTGAATTTATTGTTTATTAATCTGTGTAATAATGAAAAAAGTATATTATGTTTCATTTTGAAGAGTGTTTTTCTTGTTTTGTTATTGATTTTACTCTAGATTCTATCACGGGACAGAGAAACTGTGATTGCAGCATTCGGCAGTGCAAGTGGTTTGTCTTTGATCATGATCTTGTTTTGCCAGAATACATCGTTGAATTTGAGTATATTACAATGGTATGGATGTATTTTTAAAACTGGAATTCCTTAAGTAAGAAAAGAACAGAAATAGTAATTAACAGAAGTCTAATAATGTAGTGTCGAGTTTATACTATATATTTATACGTAAACACACATACAGTGGTTATTCTGTGAAGGGTTCATTTTCAAAAGAAATCATTATGACACCTAAACATTTTTATATGCAAATATGTTACATGAGTAATATATGGCTATAGTCTCACTGAAAAAGCTTCAAACTATATTGAAGGATATATAATAAACATAAAATCTGATTTCATCTCACCTGCAGCACCACTCCCTTTCATGAAGAAGTCCACTATTAACAACGTCATGGGTTTGCTTTCACTGTTTTTTTCTATGTATTTACATATATAACAGTATGTAACATTTTACATAGTAGAATCAAGATCTAAGTATTTTGTGATTTCTTGTTGCCTTTAATCATGTTTTGGACATATTTCCACTTCAGTACATATAGGTCTATACTTTATTCTTTTGGTGACTGCATTCTATCCAGTAATATCTAATTTATTTGACTATTCTTTTGTTCATGAAACATATAGGTTGTTTCCAGTTTTATTACTGTTTAAAAAGTATTTCAGTGAATATCATTATATATTCATCCTTATACAAATATGGAAGTTTCTCTGTAGAATAGATCGATACAATTGGATAGTCAAAGGATATACACCTTTTAAATTTTGATACATTTTGCCAGTATTCTCCACAAAGCCTTGGCCATTTTACAAATTTCCAACAGTATGTGACAGAGCTTGTTTCTTTGCATGCTTACCAAAACAAGATATTATCAGTCTTTTACTTTTCCACTCTGTGGGCAAGAAAAGGATATTTGATTCTTTAATAGGCTATGGATTATTTATAGTTTTATAAATCACTTGTTATATCCTTGGACTATTTTCTTCTTTTAAAATGTTTTTAATGTTTATTTTATTTTTGAGAGAGAGAGAGAGAGAGTGCAGGGGAAGGGCAGAGAAAGAGGGAGACACAGAATCTGAAGCAGGCTCCGGGTTCTGAGCTGTCAGCACCCAGCCCAATGCGGTGCTTGAACTCACGAACCACGAGATCATGACCTGAGGCAAAGTCGGTCAGTTTACCAACTGAGCCACCCAGGCACCCCATCTTTTGACTATTTTCTATTGGACTCTATTTTTTTATATTGATTGGAAAAATCCTTATATGCATTCTGGATATTAATCCTTTATCTTATATATACGTTGCAAATATTTTATGTCACTTGTCTTTTAAATCTATTTGTAGCAAAACCTTATTTGTCATTATTAATTTGCAATTTCCTGGTTAATTATTAAGAGGTCAGATCGCTCCAAATTTCCTAATATGGATTCTGGGTTTTATGTCTCATTACAGAAGGCTTATATAAATATCTTCTTTATTTTCTTCCAATACTTATATAGGTTGTTCTACAACTTTAAGTTTTTTTAAGTACATCTGGAAATTATTTTATGTCATGTGAGGGAAGAAGATCAAATAATTTTTCCTTAAAAATGGATAGCTACTTGACCAAGCATCATCTTTTTGCTCTATTTTGAAGTGCCATCTTTATTGTTAAAATTATTTTCATATATAAGGGGTTTATTTATAGATCCTTCTATTCCATTGATCTCTTGGTCTAATCTTGGACCCCTCCCACATTGTTTCGATTATTACAACTTTGATGATATACTTTGATATGCGACAGGGTAAATTCCCTTTCCCTGCCCTCACTCATCTTTTAAAAATTTTTCTTGGCTATTCTTGAGCACTTTCTCTTCCAAAAAGAAGTTAGAATCAGCTTGTTAAGTTTTATTTTAAAATCCTATTTAGTAATATAAAAACAGGGAGGGGGACAAAACATAAGAGACTCTTAAATATGGAGAACAAACAGAGGGTTATGGGAGGGGTTGTGGGAGAGGGGATGGGTGAGGGGCATTAAGGAATCTACCCCTGAAATCATTGTTGCACTATATGCTAACTAACTTGGATGTAAATTTAAAATAAATAAATAAATAAATAAATAAATAAATAAATAAATAAAATCCTATTTAGGATTTGATTGAGATTGTATTGAATTTAAACCTTAATTTGGGGGGCGTCTGGGTGGCGCAGGTGGTTGGGCGTCCGACTTCAGCCAGGTCACGATCTCGCGGTCCGTGAGTTCGAGCCCCGCGTCAGGCTCTGGGCTGATGGCTCAGAGCCTGGAGCCTGTTTCTGATTCTGTGTCTCCCTCTCTCTCTGCCCCTCCCCCGTTCATGCTCTGTCTCTCTCTGTCCCAAAAATAAATAAACGTTGAAAAAAAAAATTAAAAAAAAAAAACAAAACCTTAATTTGGGACAAACTGTTGTGCAGTATTGGACTTCTCATCCAGGAACATGATAAGTTATTCCATTTACTCAAGTCCTCCCTACAGTTTTCTTTACTCAGGTTTTAAGTGTAATTCCGGGCACTTAGGCACTTATATTTTTACGTTGCTATTATGAATGAGACTGTTTCAGTCAAGTAGGCTTTCAGCAAAGACCCAGACAAATAGTAGAAACCCAAACAAACAGTTAACATAACTCAAATAACAGGAAGTCAAGAGGTGGGCAGTCCTGGCTGTTGAGACTGTCCAGTGACTGATGTCAGCAAAGACCTTAGCTCCATCATCCATCTGCTTGCCACTTCATTAGCTCTTTTGATCTGAAGACTCAGTTCTTTCTTCACTTCCGGGAAGTTTTCTTCTCTTAATTCCTCCATTATCTTCTCTCTTCCATTCTGTGCTCAGCCCTCTGGAACCTTGATTGGTTAAACACTAGACTTTCTGAGTTGGTCCTCCATTTCTTTTAATTTTCTCTCTCTCTCGTATTTTATATCTCCATTTAAAAATTCTATTATTCTGGAAGATTTCCTCAATATTAACCTCTGCTAATTTGATCATTGCTAATTTGATCTGCTGCCATATCCATTCGGTTTCCCAGAGCATTTAGTGAATACTTTCATTTCATTAATTATTTTTATTTTGACTCTAAAGTGTTACCCTGTTCCCTTCTCTTTAAGTTTATTTATTTATTTTGAGACAGAGAAATAGAGACACAGCACAAGTAGAGGTGGGGCAGAAAGAGAGAGGGAAAGAGAGAATCCCAAGCAGGTTCCACGCTGTCAAGCACAGAGCCCAATGTGGGACTCGAACTCACAAACCATGAGATCATGACCCGAGCTGAAATCAAGAGTCAGACACTTAACCAACTGAGCCACCAGGCGCTCCACTCAATTCTTTTCGATAGCAGCCTGTTCTATTAGGGATGCTTTATTCCCCCAGATTTTAAAATAATTCTCTTATGGACCATTTTTTTTCTAGAGCCACTTCTGTTTATGTTTTTTATGCTCATTCATCCACAGTTTTTACCATAATTACTTAATCACCTGCTAATTACCTAGAGCATCCTACTGCTATTTTACTTGTTCACTCTGAACATCAAATTTCTCTGGATCTGTTCTTCAGAGTGGTTTATCTCCCACATATGTTTTGGCTACAGGTTACATTTCTGCTCCCATTTGTCTGTCAGTTTGGTCCTCTCTGATTTATGTCTCACAATTCTTAGTCTTTTGTTGGCGCTCTCTCCACTCTGTTGAAAACTATTTAAAAATTATCTTTTGCCAGTTTTCAAGGACTTTTCAATGGGAGGGGATGAACATATTTGTTCTTAGCCCGCAATTTTAATCTACTCTCACTGGTTTTCTAATGTGATTCTAATCATGATAGATATTATTATATAAATGAAAAAAACTTAATTAGTCTTTCTACATAGCCTATTTCTTATTCAAAGTGATAAATACAGCAACCAAATTTTCAATATTTTTAATAAATTTTTTTAGGTAAAGCCTCACTCTTTATTTTCTTCATTCAACAATGTTATTCTAGAAGAAAGCAAAAAAAATTCAGAAGGATCATTACTGTCTCAGGATTTGCAATTTGATGATGAAGTTATAAAAATGGATCCCAGGATCAAGCCCAGACCAAAACTTATTAATTTGGATGATAAAACAATACTTTCCCTTGCCAAGACTAACATTTACAGTCATATTGTGGTGAGTATTATAAGGAATAAAATTTGGGGACAGAAACCTTGAATTTGGAATCATAATCTACCATAAGAAGTCTAAAGATACTAAAGCACCTATCTGGTGATGCCAGTCATCATGCTGTCAAAATTTAAAGGACCTTGACCTCTCTTTCTTTGTGGACTAGATCAGTGTTGTCGGTAGTAATATAATATAAACCATATACGTAATTGAAAATTTTCTATTAGCCATGTTAAGAAATTTTTTTTAATTAAAAGTAAGATTAATTTGGGGTGCCTGGGTGGCACAGTCAGTTAAGCGTCCGACTTCAGCCAGGTCACAATCTCGTGGTCCGTGAGTTCGAGCACCGCGTCAGGCTCTGGGCTGATGGCTCAGAGCCTGGAGCCTGTTTCCGATTCTGTGTCTCCCTCTCTCTCTGCCCCTCCCCCGTTCATGCTCTGTCTCTCTCTGTCCCAAAAATAAATAAACGTTGAAAAAAAAAAGTAAGATTAATTTTAATAAATCCAATATATCTAAAATACTAACATTTCAATATGCAATCAATATGGAGAGTCATTCATCAGTTTCATACTAAGTCCTTGAAATCTGGAGTATATTTGCAGATGACAGCACTTGCAGCCCATCTCAAATCAGACGAGCCACATTAGTGCTCAAAAGCCACATGTGACTAGTAGCTACTGTACAGGACAGTACAAGCCTAGAGGGTACCCTTCTAGTTTACAAGGGATTTTATTACTGAAAAAAAAAAAGCTTTCTTTAAATGACTAAGACAGTTAAGTTTCAAATCAGTTCCCAGGATTAGTCAACATAGAATATTAGAGATTTATCTTTACAAAATTAATTAACAATTTGAGTTACTATTGAAGTGACATACTTTATTTAATTTATTTTTATTTATTTATCTATTTACTTATTTTCAAGTTTTTATTTAAATTCTAGTTAGTTAACATATAGTGTAATATTAGTTTCAGGAGTAGAGTTCAGTGATTCATGACTTACAGGTAACACTGAGTTCTCATCATAACAAATGCCCTCCTTAATACCCATCATCCCTTTAGCCCATCCCCCCACTCACCTCCCTTCCAGCAACCCTGTTTTTTCTCAATAGTTAAGACTCTGTTTTATGGTTTGCCTCTCTCTCTTTTTCCCTGTATGTTCATCTGTTTTGTTAAGTTCCACATATGAGTGAAATCATGTTATTTGTCTTTGTCTGATTTATTTTGCTTAGCATAATACACTCTAGCTCCAACCACATCATTGCAAATGGCAAGATTTCATTCTTTTTGAGGGCTGAGATATATAATAGAATATATAGATAGATAATGGAATATCTATATCTATAGATATTCTAATATCTATATATATCTAATCTAATATGTATATATAGATATATAATGGAATATATATATACCACCATATATAATGGAATTATGTATACACACACACACACACACACACACACACACACACACCACCTCTTCTTTATCCATTCATTAGTCAGTGGACATTTGGGCTCTTTCCATAATTTGGCTATTGTTAATAATGCTACTGTAAACATCAAGATGTATATGTCCCTTCAAATCAATATTTTTTTATCCTTTGGGTAAATACCTAGTAGTGCAATTGCTGGCTTGTAGGGTAGTTCTATTTTTATCTTTTTGAGGAGCCTCCATACTGTTTTCCAGAGTGGCTGCACCAGTTTGCATTCTCACCAACAGTGTAAGAGGATTCCCCTTTGTCCACATCCTTGCCGACATCTGTTGTTTCCTGAGTTGTTAATTTTAGCCGTTCTCATAAGTGTGAGATGATACCTCATTGTACTTTTGATTTTTATTTCCCTGATGATGAGTGATGTTGAGCATTTTTTCATGTGTCTGTTACTTATCTGGATGTCTTCTTTAGAAAAATGTCTATTCATGTCTTTTGCCCATTTCTTAACTGAATTGTTTGTTTTTTGAGTGTTGAACTTTATAAATTCTTTATAGATTTTGGGTACTTATCCTTTATCAGATATATCATTTGCAAATATCTTCTCCCATTCTAAAGGTTGCTTTTTTCATTCTGTTGATTATTTCCTTTGCTATGCAAAAGCTTTTTATCTTAATGAAGTCCCAATGTTCATTTTTGCTTTGTTTTCTTGCCTCTGGAGACATGCCTAGTAAGAAGTTGCTACAGCCAATGTCAAAGAGGTTGATGCCTGTGTTCTCCTCTAGGATTTTCACATTTAGGTGTTTCATCCATTTTGAATTTATTTTTGTGTATGGTGTAAGAAAGTGGTCCAGTTTCAGTTTTTTGCATGTTGCTGTCCAGTTTTCCCAACACCATTTGTTGAGACTATCTTTTTTCCATCAGATATTCTTTCCTGCTTTGTCGAAGATTAGTTGACCATATAGTTGTGGGTCCATTTCTGGGTTTTCTATTCTGTTCCATTGATCTATGTTGAAGCAACTTACTATACACAGAGGCAACTCTACTGAGATATGAAGTCTACCTCCACACCTTGACTTTCAGGTCTGTCCACTTCAAATCTGCTACCATTCTATGCAAACTACCATTATCTCTGACCTAGACTATTGCCGTAGCCTTCTAATACTCTGTCATTCAACATTGCACAACTCCAGGAAGTGCAATTCACATTATATTCTATTAATGTGTTCTTTGGGTGCCATTCATAACTGAATATAACTCAATATGGGGGTTAGAGGGTACCACCTAGAGCTGTACAATAGAGGCTTTGTCCTGCTTTCACTTTGAGTCCCCAATTTATTCTGCATGTTGAAGCTAGAGCAATCTTTTCAAGATACAAATTTGCTCATATCTTTGTTACCCTTCCTTGAAATCTTCAAATGATTTTCCATTGTTTTAAAAGTGAAACCAAAGTCCTTAATATGGCCTATAAGATTCTGAATGGCCTGGATCCTGGCCTACCTTTCCAGACTCTTTCAATATTACCCTCTCTTTAGTTCTCCATGCTCAGCCTCCTTTCTGTTTCTTAAATGCATTCTGCTTGCATCCAACACAGATCCTCTGCACTTTCTAGTCCTCTGCATGGAATGTTCTCCCCTGACCCCCTTCTCCTAGTTAATTCCCACACATCTTTTAGATCTATACTAAAGCAAAGTTTTCTCTTAACTCTGAGTCTGCATCAGATTCCTTTGTTATATGCTCTGTGTCCTTCCGAGACTGTAAATTCCACAGTGGCTGAGGCTGTGACTATTCTTCGATATGTATATCCCCAGCACCAGGGCAGCAATATAAGATGGTTCAGTGTGCATTGCACAAGAGGGCCAAATCCAAGGGGTACACTTTAAATCTATAGTAGTATATTTACTACAATTTTCTGACAACTGTTCATAGAATTTCTTGTGCTAACAAAATAAGAATATTGTGATAATTTTCTAAAAGCTGAAAATAGTGGTGTCTTGAGGAAAGGATGGATGCTGCTTCGGATCCTCTGTCCCCCACTCTCTCTGCCCCTTCCCTGCTGGTTCTCCCTCTCTATCTCAAAATAAATAAGTAAACTTTAAAAAATAAAATAAAATAAAATAAAATAAAATAAAATAAAACAATATCTTTACAGCAAATGGTTCTTACAAAGTGGGTTTGCTTGAACTGCAGAAGTAGCAAGCAAATTAATATCTGATACACTGAGAAGACAAGTATCTGATTGATACTTGAGAAGACAAGTTATTCTCACATGACATTATCTTTCTATGTGTGCCCTGAAAGCTGAGATACAGATAAATATTCAGAAATTATTTTTATCTTGAAAGTCAATTACACTGTTCCAATGTGACATTTCTAGATCACTTGTTTATGAAGACAATTTTTTTCAAGTGACTATATAAAACAAAAAGAATGAAAAAATGTTTAAAAAATTTTTAATGTTGCTTTATTTTATTTTTTATCTTAATGTTTATTTATTTTTGAGAGACAGAGAGAGACAGAACACTAGCAGGGGAGGGGCAGAGAGAGAGAGAGAGAGGGAGACACAGAATCCAAAGCAGGCTCTAGGCTCCAGCTGTCAGCACAGAGCCTGCCGCGGGGCTCAAACCTACAAACTGTGAGATCATGACCTAAGCCAAAGTCAGACATTTAACAGACTGAGTCACCCAGGAACACCTGTTTACTTTATTTTTGACTGAGAGAGAGAGAGAGAGAGAGAGAGAGAGAGAGACAGAGACAGAGACAGAGACAGAGGCAGAGAGTGAGTGAATAGTGCAGGGGCAGAGAGTTGCAGGGGAGAGAGAATCCCAAGCAGGCTCAGTGATGTCAGTGCAGTGCCGATGCAGGGATCAATCCCATGTACCATGAGATCATGACCTGAGCTGAAATCAAGAGTCAGATGCTTAATTGACTGAGCCACTCAGGGGCCCCCAAAATATTTTTGAAAATAAGAAGTGTGGTCAATAGTTTTGAGTCTGCTTCTGAAAATATTTAGAAAACATCTTTTTTCAAGGGGTTGCTTTGGTCCAACTATGTTGTCACCATCCACCAAATCTTCAAGTCTAGGAGATTAAGTTTGACCTTAACCAGTTATTATTAGGGAGGAAGGAAAGCTTCATGACATGATGGCAATACCACCATCTGCATCATAAATGTGCAGTATAGCGATTATAAGAACATTCTTTGAGTTGACATGGAGAAATTATTGTTTCTGCCCTATAAGGTAAAGAGTTCATATCTGAGTAATAAATTTTTTATAATAAAGCTTTAGTAATGAAAAGTTCAAATGCATGAGTTTGATTGGATTGAGCTTCCACAACATACATTTCTATAGATTTAAAGGGATTAAATAAACGTTAAAAAAAAAAAAACAGCAATAGTTTAAAAAAAAAGGTAGGCCTTCTTTAATTATCTTTGGTGTGTAAGATAAAAAACAGTGAGGAGGAGAATAAGACTTCAGAATACCTGGCTTGCTTGTGACCTCCACCTGACTGCCTTAATTTGATCAATACCCATAACATAAGAATGGAAGAACCTCTCATCCTAAATTTGCGTATACTGCCTAAAAGCCAGAAAAACCTTCTAGGGCTTCTAGTAAAAATAATGGCTACTACAACAAGAATGTTTAGACATCACACCCTTTATTCTCCTTCCTTTGTGCCAATACTATAAGAGAAACCGAGGGTACACACACACACACCTCTTATTTTCTTTTCAGTCTTCCCCTCTAGATTGAGTTTTTTAGGACACCTAAAAATAAATAAAATATATAGAAATAAAGGTGGGAGATGGGAGGGAATGAGTGAAATAGGTGAAGGGGATTAAGAGTACACTTATTGCAATGAGCACTGAGAAATGTATAAATTGGTGAATCCCTATCTTATACACCTGAAACTAATATAACACTGTATGCTAATTATACCTGAATAAAAAAGAATATAGTTATTAGTTGTATGTCTGGCTTGTATGTCTGGCTTTTGCACCGATTTATTCATCTAGCATTTACTGAGCATTTGCTATGTTTTAGGCAACGAGTTAAGCATTGGGGGCTCAAAATGAGTTATTTTCCCTATCTCAAGGACATCATTTTAGCAGAGGAGACAGATATGTATACAAATATAGGAAGTTTGGAGTTGCTGGGAGAGTTCCATAGAGAGAAGATAAGTTTTGTGTTGATTTTTGAAAGATATGAGAAATTCAGTTGTTTATGTCTTCCAGGCAGATGAAATTCTCTACCTAGAAGCACATGGTTTTGAAAGATCCTAGTGTTATTAGGGAACATAGGGTGACTATGAACATAAGGTGTAGTAGAAGGTAAAGGTGTAGGTTGGAGGTTATAGCCACAATAGGATGGATGTGCAAAGGCAAATTTTAAAATTTTAGTTTATCTTTAAGGAATGGGCCCTGTGTTTGTAAAGACCCTAAACTTTGGCAACTTGTGGTTAGATTTAACTAAAGACAGACTGATGGTATGGATAGCCAGTGGATACTATTGTAGTAGTCCAAAGGACAATAATAGTCTGAACTAAGACACTTTTAGTAGTAATGGTATGGAATGGTTGGTTTGAGAAACATTTCTAGAATCAAATGCATATGGAAAAGAGGAAAACGGGGTGGTCAACCATAACTGTTGGATAGATAGTCAAACTCTTAATCAGGATTGAAAAAATAGACTACCAGGCAGATATGTATGGAAAATGATGAATTCAGTTTGGACATGTTAAGGGTAAGGTATCTGTAGATACCAAAATGTGACCTGTAGAATAAACTACTCTGCATAAATTGACCCTTCTTAACAATTTTAACAAATTTTGACAACTATTTGACATTTAGATGTTTCTCCCTGCCAAGAATTTGGTTATATCCACAGTATAATAGGGCATAAGATGGTGGTGGTGAGTGAAGAGAGTTGGGAAGTAGATGCTTGATTTTATCATAATACCAATTTGTTGTGAATATTAAAACATTTTTAATTATATGAAAACATTTTTATATTAAATTATATTAAAACATTTTTCCTGTGCCACTGCTTATTCTGTAGACTATGCATAAACATAATCTTCACTTGATACCTTTCACAATGGTGTAGTGTAAAGATGGAAAAATATATAGACATCAGGATATCCTCTAAATATTAAAAAAAAAAAAACTGTAATAGCACTCATTTTTGTTTAGCCCGGGATCAAATGGACAGGAAAAGTCTAGGCCAAATTCTGATATGGAAACACTTTCCTACCTCCTTCTTTGAGTGTCTGTCCTCCTACTTTAGCATCCTCAGCCTTTCTTCCTTAGTCCTGTGCCTTCATACAGTTTTGTCCAATCAAGGTGTATCCTTGCCATCTTCTCTCTTATGAGGTATCCTAGCCAATACCCAAAGTCTTTAGGGCCTATATCATTCACTGGCTAGCGTGAGAAATAGATGTGCCTTAATAAATGTCTTAACAATGTATTTAGCTATTTTCTAAAAAGAATTTTTAAGTCAGTTAAGTGTCTGACTCTTCTTGATTTCAGCTCATGTCGTGATTTCATAGTCGTGAGATTGAGCCCTGAGTTGGGCTCCGTGCTGGGCATGGAGCCTACTTAAGAGTCTCTCTCTCCCTCTCCCTCTACCCCTCCCCCCACTTGTGCACACAAATGCTCTTGCTCTCTGTCAAAAAAAAAGTTTTTTTAGACTTAAGTGGAAAATCAAATTAATCAAGAACAGGGCCCAGTGATGCTATTATAAACTATACTTTTAAAATCATATATTAGATATATTTCTTATTGGCTCTCAATGTTAAAAAACTATGATATAGAATGTAATCTGTCTTATTTTTTTATTTATATTTCAATTTATTTCAGAGTCTGAATCTACATGGAAACAGCTTGAGTAAATTGAGAGATCTCTCCAAGTTAACAGGACTTCGAAAACTTAGTATCAGCTTTAATGAATTTACCTGTTTAGATGATGTATACCACTTGGTAAGAACTGTCCTTTTGAAACTACTTAAGTAAAATAAAATTATTAATTTAATAGATAAATTATTTTTGTAATTATGACCTCAAATATACCATATTCAGGATTATACAGCTCAAATTGGGAACAAACATACATACATTATGATATGTTACTTTGTCTAAAATAGGTCTTGGATTCAGATTCCATTTGGAAAACCAATTATACGCCTGTGGTCATATCTGATTTCTAGCTACTTGAAAGTAAATTTATTAAAACTACCCCAGATTTGTTTTTAAAATGTCTTTTGGAAATTGTCATTTTCATTGTTTTCTCATTCTTATTTTTCTGCTCCTGAGTCCTTATTTCTTCATTCTCTAGTTTACTACTTCATATTGAAGGCTGTCAATTCTTCCCATTTGTTCATTGTTCATGTTGTTATTTCTCTTTTCCTTCTGCCTTGTTCTTTCTACCTGAATGTCACCCGCACGGACCTTGTTGAACTTGCGTTCGCCCTCTCATAGATAATAGGACAAATACAGTAATGCACATGTACACATAGCTAAGCATCTTATCTGGCTTTTGTCTTCTTTGTTATGTATCATATAACAAAAATAATTACATATGTGGCTCCAGAACTCCAACCCAGCATCCCGTTGGATGCTGACATACCGTTTCACTGACATACTGTCACTGACATACCGTTTCAGAATATATCATCATCCTGAGCTCTTCATTCCCTACCTGCTGCTTTCAACCATATCAAAGCCCTTGCGTTGCTGCTTCTCCCACTCTGGTCGGAACTGTTACTTTGCTAACTGACCTTAAGTTTTAGTATTAAGCCCCCTTCCTTGTTTCTTTTGGTAAGCCGAGGTCCTTTTTAATAGAATCCCTGATAGTTTGGGTTCAATACACAGCTAAGTAAAGAAGACAGTTTGGGGTGCTTGCATGGCTCAGTCGGTTAAGCATCCGACTTAGGCTCAGGTCATGGTCTCGTGGCTCTTGAGTTTGAGCCCTGGTCAGACTCTGTGCTGACAGCTCGAAGCCTGGAGCCTGCTTCAGATTCTGTCTCCCTGTCTCTCTGCCCCTCTCCACCTCACGTTTCCTCTCTGCCTCTCTCTCTCAAAAATAAACATTAAGAAAAAAAGAAGGTAGTTTAATAGAGGTCCCAACACTATATGTAAATGGTTGGCATGTTTTATTTAACTTTTTTTCTGATGATTTGCCAATGGTTCCAGAGGTTATGACAGCCATAATTATTTTGCTTAGGCACAAAATTTGATGAGTAAACTCTTAAGTCATGCAAGGCACTTAGATAGTGAGTGAGCTTAGCCAGCTTCCCAGCATGTATTTTGTAGTACAGTTTTGTTGTTCTCCTTAGACAGAAAATTTTCTTTCAACATCATAGCTTCACAGTCTACTTATTAGATTAATATTACTGTGGACATTTTACAGATAAGAGAACTGGACAAATATGCCTAAGTGGTGTTTTGAAATTTAAGATTAGCAAAGGTAGATAGATAGATCTAGATAGATCAGATACATCAAGTATCTGATATATAACTATGTCTTGAAAAATGACTACAGGAATGTTAGGGGTGATCAGAGGGAGGAAATAATCTGTGTGTATTTTTTTCACCTTTTTATTGTAAAATAAAACAGATACAGGGGTGCGTGGGTGGCTTGGTTGGTTAAGCATCTGACTCTTGATTTCAGCTCAGGTCATGATCTCATGGTTCATGGGTTTGAGCCCCGCATCGGCTCCATGCTGACAGTGTGGAGTCTGCTTGGGATTGTCTTTCTCCCTCTCTCTCGGTCTCTCCTCCACATACCTGCTCTCTCTCTCTCGCTCTCTCTCTCTCTCTCAAAATAAATAATAATTTAAAAAAACAGATACAGAAAACTACGTACTTCAAGAACATGGCTTAGTAAATTATTATAAGGTGAATGTGCCTGTAACTAGCACCCAGGTCAAGGAATAGAACTTTGTAAACTACAACATAAGCCCCTTCTATATATGCCCCATCCCTTCAAGAAATCATTATCTTGACCTCTCCAGTAATCCTCTCCCTGCATTTTCCCCCATAGTTTCATCACCCAAATGTGCATCCCTACCTAGTACAATAGTTTGGTTTTGCCATTCTAAAAATTGTTTAAGTCTCTTTTAATTTATAGGTTTCTCTTATAATTCCTTCTTTCCCCTTCCACTCCCCATAGTTTATCTGTAGAAATGCTTTGACCTTCCAATCCTAAGAGTGTCCCACAATTTGGACCCTGCTGATTTGCTTATGATACAATCCTACACAGCCCCCACCCTCAGTATTTTCTACAATTTGGCAACTAAATCCAGAAATTGGATCAGACTCAGGTTCCATTCCTCTGGTAAGACTGTAAGAATCAGATAATGTGTGGTTGACTCACTTTTCTCATGCTGGTAGCATTATTAATGTCTATATCCATTAACTCATCAGTGATTACAAAATGGCAATATTTCTATTCTATCATTTCTTTTTCATTTATTAGTTAGACTATTTTTACATAAAGACATTTCCCCTTTTCTGTGATTTGGTTACCCAGTGGTACCACTCATGTAGAAAATGCAGAATAGGTGTTTATTTGCCTTTATTTACCAATTTTGAAGATAATGAATGGTTCTTTGTGATCTCCCAAAGATAAGCAATTCCTTTTTTGTTTTAATATCATTAGGAATGCAGGGTCTTAAACACATTTGATGAGAGTCCATCCATTCAATTATTATCATGATTGAAGCTCAGATTGTATCGTCTTAACCAATGGAATCATCTTAAAGTTAGCTTCTTTTGCCATGACCATAGTGGTCTCTGATAGCTTCTTTGCCACCTGGCATAAAAGATGTTCCATGTCCATTTTCTGTATTTTCTTTTGTAGACATGGGATCAGCCATTTCTTCAAGGAGCCCTAGTTTCTTTTAGAGAAAAGTGGTATTTCAGGACCACCAGTCTGGGTTGGTCATTGTTTCTAGGTCTTTCCATCGGACAGAACTTATTATGGGGAAGGGGTGTGTGTGTGTGTGTGTGTGTGTGTGTGTGTGTGTGACTATATATGTATGTATAACTAAAACTAACCTTATGTATTTATATTGGTATTTCCAATTCAGATTCAATACTGAAAATCTTTTAGCTTAACCTCTTCTGTTACTTACATCAATATCTTTCTTTCTCTCACACCAATAATCCTCAGTTTCAAGGGTACAAATTGATAGCAGTGGACTATTTAATAACTGCTCATTGTTTTGTCCCTTATTACACACACAACAGTCTCAGAATAGCAGCCCTGATACTCTCATCAATATGATTACTGGAAAGATTTTTTTATTTTGTATATGTTCTTTCCATTATTCATTTTAAAAATGAATCAAAATGATCATTTTGTATATACTTTGTCAGAACATGTAGCCTTGCACTTTGTACACTCTCCCTTTTAGTTGTTTGGTAACTGTATATTTAATTCTTGTCACTAGTCCTTAGGTTGGTATCTCTCTAAACATTTTGATGGTCTGAAAAATATTCTATTATAGATTCCTCAGGAAGGGCTTATGGGGACAATATCCCTTCCACTACTGCATGTAGATAATAGTTTTTCTATATCCTCTACACATGCAAGGCAGTTTTGCTAGATATAAAATCCTTGGCTCACAATTTATTTCCTTGGGCATCTTAAATGTTACTTGTTTCTTCTGACATAAACTGTTGCTGTAGAAAAGTCTGATGACAGTGTACAATTTTTCCCTCATACGTCACATGCTTTTTTCTTCTGGATGGCCAAAGAACTTTTTAAGTTTTTTTTTTTAAGTTTAGTAATTTTACTAGAATATGTCTTGGTATTGGTTGCCTGGGCCAGTATTTCAGCTTCACAGTATGCTCTTCCAAAATACAGATTAAAATCATTTTTTCTTTCCTTTTTTTAAATTGAAAGTTTTAAGCCTCTTTTTTGGCTTCCTTGCTTCAGTTTTCTTCTTCAGGGATGCACATTATCCACATGTGGAATCTTTACCTATCTTCACTATTTGTCACTTTCTCTTGTGTCCTTTTTATTTCTTAATTTAAAATTTTAAGTCGATTTGATTTTACAATTTTTTTTTTACCTTCTGTTTCTCTTAAAGCATTACCTATTGTTTTACTTGCTTTTGTGTTTGACTATTTGTTTATGAAATGTTTTTCTTTTATTTCAAATTATTTTATGGGTTCTTTCACCTTACTACTGAGTTTTTCTAATCCATATTTATATTGTTATTTTTTATCTTGTATCATTCTTAATATCTTTTGCTTGTTTTAAAATAGTAAGTTAATAGTCACGATAAGTTCTGAGCATATCTTTCTGGTGTTCTTTTATTGCCAACAGCAATGTCTCTCTCTCCTTTCTGCACCCCCACCCCTCTCCCTCTCCGTCCTGCTCTCCTAACTTTGGGATTTGATCTCAATACTTTTCTGCTGCTCATTTTTTAATGAAATTATTTTTTCTTAACTTCTAAAACGAAGTGGAGTTAGGGAAAGCTTTCCTACCTTCACAGATCTCCCTCCTCTGTTGTTTATTTTTGCTTTAAAAAAAATTATAGCGCTTACTTTCTGACATTTCCCGACTGTACTCTCTTCCTCCACTTTGCTCTGAACTTTATCGTTTATTTGCGTTTTTGTCCTTATCCTGTTTAATTTTTGAGTTTCTTCTTTGAGAAGGATTTTGTTCTAGAAGGGGGCCTTCTAGGGGAGTTTTAAGATCCATAAGTGCTGGACTGCCCCAGCTGCTTCAGACCTTTCTCCTGTGGGTCCCATGCATGCACTCAGTAATGAAGAGGGCAGAACTTCTCCCAGTGGTACTCAGGTTGGCTCCCATACTTTCCAGTAAACATTGGCAGCCTTTTGGGGTCTGTCTTGTTCTCAGGTCCATCAGATGCTGCCTGATGGTTCCTGCTTCCTCTCACATAGGCATGGATACCCCGTAGGGCTTGTGGTTGTTGGTGGTTTATTCCTACGACTTCTTTGGGGTCTTATTGGGCTACCTTGTCATGTAACTTTGTTATAAACGTTGTCCATGGAATTTGGGTTTATTTATTTATTCTGTTTTTGTGTGGGGATTCAGAGAGATTGAAAACTTATGCTGCCTCCACCTCTTTATTCTCCAGTAATGAGTTTTGTATGTGTGTTTAATATGAATTATGTTTATCTTGGCATTACAAAAGGTTATGATCTAGTTTAATCACTCACCTTCCTTCTTTGAATTATTTTAATTTTTTTTTAATGTTTATTTATTCTTGAGAGAGGCAAAGCATAAGTGGGGGAGGGGCAGAGAGAGGGAGACACAGAATCCAAAACAGGCTCCAGTCTCTAAGCTCTCAGCACAGAGCCCAACGCGGGGCTCGAACTCACAAACTGCAAGATCATGACCTGAGCCAAAGTCAGACGCTCAACTGACTGAGCCACCCAGGCACCCCTCACATTCATTCTTATTGTCTTCTAAGTTTTTTTTTAATTTACCTTGGAGATCTCATTTTTACTCTAATTTTCCTTAAGCATGTCTCTAACATAGAGAGTTTCCATACCTGCCTTGCATGCTACAAGTTGCTTCTACTAGGTTGCAGAAAATAAATATATTATTCTTAAGTGTTCATCATCCTGGCCTTGCCTTGTAAATGAAAATACCCAACCTAACACTGTTTATATAATGGAAGACTTGGCTTCGTTAATGATGAAAACATATATATACTCTATGGTTTTTATAGCGTTTTTAAAAGTCTAAACAAGACATCCATACAATAAATTAAAAAGTCCTAAGCTGCATGTTTGTCATTCGCTCACCTGAACTATCAGGAAAAGAGTATCTGAAAGAAAGCAATAAGAACAGATTTGTTTCTCTGAAAATAGCTCCACCATAGTCAGAGTAGGCCGGGGAAAGACAAATATAT